AACCCACATAATTATTCTAAGCATTCTGTAAAAAACAGCTTATTAAATTAAGATGCATTGGAACAAGACATCTCACAAGTATGAGGATCTTATATCGTACCATAATATGTTGGCTGAAAAGATTAGGAAAGTTTCTTTAAAAGAGGACAAAAATTGTAGTTTTCTGTGAGATATTATAGAAATAAAAAATCATAATTCCCTGTATTTCAATTTTAAACAGCATTCTCTTGTGTGTCAGCCTGGCTCCGTAGTAGCCTCGCCTCTGAGCCATGAAGTTGTGGGTTCAAGCTCCATGTCTAGATTTGGAGTCACATAGTCTAAACTAACACTCGAATGCAGTGCTGGGTGGGGGGGGCTGTTGCATTGTCAGAGGTGCCGCCCTTCAGATGAGACCTGCCTCTTCAGGTGGATGTTTATGATTTCATGGCACCATTAGAAAAGAGAAAGGTATTTCTTCCGAGGACCTGCCCTAAATAAAATTGGTCACTCATTCCTTGGTTGTTTATGTGCACAACTGGCTGCCCTGTTTCGCTCTACAAAATACGCAATCAATCCACTTTACATTATAGTGTGTAAATCACTTTCAGGCGCCGCACCTATGTGAAAGCCGTTATATCAAATGCAAGGATTATTATTTTATTCTCTCCCTTCCCCCACGCAATCCAATCATGTTTAAATAACAAGATGTTCAACTCTTGTTGTATGTGGCTTTGACGTAGCTCTCTGATTTGAGTCAGGAGAACTGAAATAAAGCTTTCTTATTCATTATTGTGAGTTTACAGTTAAAGCTTTGTTTTCTGGTTGCATTCATCATCAATTATATATTAAGATGAAAGGATCCTTTCATGTGTCCACCAACTTTCTTAGTTGAGTCTGTATTATGAGTTTCTGTTTCATGAGATGGCACAAGATTTGCTTCACATTCTAATGGAAAGCTTTATTTTATTGGACTGTGCGGCTGTTAAAAAAGGGCTGTTTTGACTTTCCTTATGATGTGCTGCGATCTCATACAAAGCTACAACCTGTTCTATATATTCCTCATGAGAACAGAAGCCTACTCCTTCCTGATCAAACCACAAGTCTCTAATGAGTATGATAAACGTGCAGGAACAACCCAAAGCACCACTTTAAGAACCACTGAAATCAGTAAGATCCCTGTCTAATTCTCGATCTCAGTCAGGTCCCCCTTCATGTGGATGGAAACCACAATTGCACTCCGGAATATTGAAAGAGTGCGTGCCTCAGAAAGAGACCTTTTGACCAATGCTAGAAGGGCAGCTCCAAGGCAAGTTGGTGATTCCTGGCTTGGATCTATAAGATCCTCACTGCTCTCCTACTCCTAATTATGGAGAACTTGATTCTAATATTAGACACTAGAAATGGAAGAGCATTGAATCTCCAATGCTTACAACGCTTGCTCGATGGGCAGAAAATTTATCAAAAAAGAAAAATTGATCGTCTGTCACATTTTTTACAATTCATTGCACAATGCTAAATTTCCAGAATATGCGTATCAACATGTTTAACAAGTTAGTCTGCCCTGACTTCTTTCCTTCCTATCATGATATGATTAAATGTTTAATTGAGAGAGACGTCGCCTCCCAGCTTCGCTCTTTCCTCTCCTCTCACTCCCTCCACAAGCCCCTCCAACCGGGTTTCCTGCTGCCCACAGCACGGAAACTGCTCTGGTCAGATGACATCCTGACCATGTGTGACCAGGACTCCCTCTGCCTCCTCGACCTCTCCGCTGCATTTGATACTGTGGACCACTCAGTCCTACTCCACCGCTTTCTCCCACCTCAACCTTCAAGGTTCTGTCCTTGACTGGTTCAGGTCCTACCTTTCACACCGCCTCCACTTCATCTCTGCAAACGGCTTCTCCTCCAGCCCCCGCACCGTCTCGTACAGTGTTCCTGGGGCTCTGCCCTCGGTCCCCTCCTCTTCACCCTCTACATGCTGCCCCTTGGTGACATCATCTGCAGAAATGGGGTCAATTTCCACATGTATGCCGATGACACCCAACACTATCTCTCTGCCTCCACCCTCAACTCCAGGGCTACTGGCGTCCTGACCGACTGCCTGTCTGACATCAAGTCCTGGATGAGGGACAACTTTCTCCAACTGAACGTCAGCAAGACCGAGGCCCTCCTGATTGGCTCGCGCCAGCGCCTCCTCACCTCGGACGCTGGCAGCATCAGCATCCACGGCTGCACACTCAACATCACTAAGCCAGTCAGGAACCTCTTGTTTGACCCTGAACTGTCCTTTCTCCCCTACATCCGCGCCATGACCGGTACTGCCTACCACCACCTCCGCAACATTGCCAGACTCCGCCACTGTCTCACCCCTCAGGCTGCCGAAACCCTCACCCATGCATTCGTCACATCAAGGCTCGATTATGGAAACTCCCTCATCAGCCTTCCCAACTCTTCTCTTCACAAGCTGCAGATCATCCAAAACTCTGCAGCTCGTGTACTCTCGCACACCAGGCTCCGAGACCCCATCACTCCCACCCTCACCCAACTCCAATGGCTCCCCATCCCTCAGAGGATCGAGTTCAAGATCCTGGTCTTCACTTTGAAGGCCATCTGTGGTCTTGCCACCTCCTACCTCTCTGACCTGTTGACTCCCTACCAACCTGCCCGCTCCCTCTGTTCAGTGGGCTCCGGCCTGCTCCATGTCTCCCACCCGACCCACCCTACCATCGGTGGCCGGGCTTTCAGCTTCTCTACCCCCACACTCTGGAACTCCATCCCACAGTCCCTTCGCCTCGCTTCTTCCCTTGCCTCCTTCAAGGCCGGTCTCAAGACCCTCTTCAACTGTGCGTTCAGTTGCCCTCCTACCTCTCTGCCTTCCCTCACCCCTTACCCCACCCCTCCTCCATGCTCGGGCCCTGACCCCTGACTGGCGCTCTATAAATGTAATTTTGTTGTTGTGTTGTTAATTCTCCCTCCCCCAAAAATCAAAAAAATTGATTCTTTTGAGACCAAACATTTGTATGAAAATCATCAGATCAGTGAAGCATTAAGTGTTAATGAGCTCAATATGGCACAAGAAAGATAAGGTCCTCAGGCAGGGAATTGTAATTGGTTAGTTATGCAACCCGATAGGCAGACCTGACTTAATGATAATACTCTCTTCCCAAATATTAGGAGTACAGTGGAGAAATACAGAATGACATGAAAAGATGCCCACATGAAAATTAAAATGCAGTAGCAATAAAGAAAAGTTGAAAAAAGAGATATCTATAGAAATTGCAAAGTGGTGGCTCAGCATTTTCAATGTGGTGCAGTAAAGTGGAAAGATGCAGGTCTTCACCACCTATCTTTCCCCCCTCCCTCCCTCTATTCAGTTTGTTTACCCACAAAATACACAGTCAATCCACTTTCCAGTGTATCCTGTGAAATGCTTTGAGATGTCTCAACAATGTGATAAGGCACTATATCAAATGCAAGAATTATTATTATATATTGTTATTTACAATCTGATCTGTATTGCACTAATGACATTCTGAACATCTGTGATAAGGGCTCCTTCTGCCTCCTTGTCCTCCTCGACCGCTCTGCCGCCTGCGATACTGTCGACCAATCCATCCTCATACACCGCCTCTCCTCTTTACTTAATCTTCGCGGACCTGCCCTTATCTGGATTGAATCCTATCTCTCATTGTCTCCACTTTGTTGCCTCTAACGGTTTCTCCTCCAGCCCCCGCACTGTCGCGTCTGGCGTCCCCCAGGGTTCTGTCCTTGGCCCTCTCCTCTTTAATATCTACATGCTCCCCCTTGGTGACATCATCCGCAGACATGGGGTCAGCTTCCATATGTATGCGGATGACACCCAACTCTAGCTTTCTGCCTCCACCCTCAACTCCAGGACCACTGCTGTCCTGACAGACTGCCTGTCGGACATCAAGTCCTGGATGAGGGCAAAATTCCTGCAGTTGAATGTGAAAAAGACTGAGGCCCTCCTGATTGGCTCGCACCAGCGCCTCTGTACCTCAGGCTCTGGCAGCATCAACCTCCATGGTTGCACACTTCAACTCACCAGCCAGTCGGGAACCTCGGTATCTTGTCGACCCTCAACTGTCTTTTCTTCCCCACATCCAAGCCATGACCTGCTCTGCCTTCCTTCACCCGACATCGCCCGACTCCATCACTACCTCACCCCTCAGGCCGCTGAAACTCTTGTTCATGCCTTCATCACCTCCAGGCTCGACTATGCAAATGCCCTACTTGTCGGCCTTCCCAAATCCTCCCTCCACAGGCTGCAGATAATCCAGAACTCTGCAGCCCATGTCCTCTCCCGCACCAAACTCTGTGACCCCATCTCCTCCACTCTCGCTCAACTCCATTGGCTCCCAATCCTTCAGAGGATCCAGTTCAAGATCCTGGTCCTCACCCACAAAGCCCTCCATGGCCTCGCCCCACCCTTCCTCTGTGACCTCCTAACCCCCTACCAACCCGTCCGCTCCCTCCGCTCAGCCGGCTCCGGCCTGCTCCAAGTCCCCCGACCCACCCGCCCCACCATCGGCGGGAGAGCCATCAGACACACTGCCCCCAACCTCTGGAATTCCATCCCCCAATCACTCCACCTCACCCCCGCTTTAGCCTCCTTCAAGTCCCGCCTCAAAACCCTCCTCTTCGACCATGCCATCGGTCACTCCCCTTCCCCTCCCTTCTACCTCCCTGACCCCAGATCGGGTCTGAAGTGCTGTGCACTGTCCAGCACCTTGGGACGTCTTCCCGACGTGAAAGACGCTATGCAAATGTAATCTTGTTGCTGCACTTCAACACATCTCAAGTAATTTTAGCGACTGTATTTGCATCAGCAGGATGATAATCCTTGCATTTGAAATAGCATCTTATCATGTCAGTGATACGAATTCTTGTATATATTATAACAGAATAAATCTGTGTCATTCAAAATGGTTGTATTATAAAGTGTCATCACACTTTTACTTGGCTAATGGCTACCATATATGTCTTTTCTGTTTTTACCAGGCTGCTGAATCAGGAATAGTAAAGGTTAAAACCATCGCCGCTCGAAGCACAGACATTCTGGCAGGTAAGAGTGAATTTATAATAAAATGTCCCCTTTTGCTAAAAGCTTTTACTGGATAGAACATGAGTAACAGAGTGATAACTTGATATTGTGTATTTAAGAACGTAATATTAAATGTAACTCATTTGGTATGAATTGAAGTTTCTATTGGGTCATTGCTCAGAATTAATAAAGTGAACTGAACTTTATTAAAATAATTCTTTCAATAATTCTGTTAATTCTACAGAACAGAAGTTCAGCCATAAGCTCATTCTTATTTATTGCTACTGCATTCTTATCAATGCATCTGATATAGGGATCTAAAACATGGTGATTTCTTTCAGAAATTCTTGATTAGGATTTTATTGCCAATGATTTCCTTCAGGAACCAAAAGTGTACCATGCTGACCTACAGGTCACTTACTTACTTATACTGACTTGATCATTTGTAGTGAAGTTCCTATGGGTCAGAATTACTGTTACCGTTTACCTGTAGGAGTCCCGCCTGACACCTAGGTTTTTGTACTGCATAAACAGGTGCTCCTGAGCTGGTCCTCTTTGCATACAAGTGAAATGGGAACTGTAAAAATAAACACATCTTAATGTTGCTGGTGATTGAAAAGATAATGATGACAGAAACCAAAATTTATGGTCAAAGATTTACACTCATTTTGCACCTCATTTGCAGCTGAAAGTAAGGTCGAACATACGAATGAAACTTGAATATTAAAGACTGACTGACCATCCAAATGTAGATTTTGAGTGCAATTCTGAGTTATTTTTCATCACCTGTTCATAACATTTGGCTCTGTGGATAGCACTCTCACCTCTGGTTTGCAAGGTTATGGTTTCAAAACCCACGTCAGGAATCAAACATTGATGGCATCTTTTAGGTTCAGTTGGATGTTAAAAGTCCCATGACTTTATTTTGAAGAAAAGGAGTTCTTCCAATATCCTAGCTAATATTCTTTTTCAATCAAATGTATGCAAAAATGAATTGGTCATTCTTCTCATTGCAGATTTTATGATTTTGCTGACAAAGGATATTTGCCTATGCAATAAACCTTTATGAGTAATCTGTTCAAGCATTTTGAAGATTTGGCTTTAAAATTTTGTCAAAAAATAGTATTCTTGTTTGAATACTTTTTGGCTTCCCATACCATAGAGGATTGAAATCAAAATCCCTGTTCTTGCCTTCAAGGCTCTCCACAGCCTTGCTCCTTCCTATCTCTGTGACCTGCTAACCCCATATTAACCTGTCTGCTCTTGCTGCTCAGCAGGCTGTGACCTGCTTCACATCCCCCTCCCAACCCACCCCACCATCGGCGGTTAGGCCTTCAGCTTCTCTGCCCCACCCTTTGGAACCCCATCCCACAGTCCCTTCACCTCGCTCTCTCTCTTGCCTCCTTCAAGCACGTCTCAAGACACTCCGCTTTGACCGGGCCTTCGGCCACTCTTCAACCTTTCCTGCCTTCCCTGATCCCAACCCCCCTGCTCGGGTCCAAATCCCTGACTGTTCAACTCCTTGGGACATCTTACCGACATGAAAGACACTATACAAATGTAATATTGTATTGTATTCTTCACTTAACTGCCATTAGTTTTAATTATCTACTTGATTGTATATTATTAGCCTTAAAAGAGAACAGCTCTGAAGTTGTCCAACCATTGCTTATGGGCTGTGGAACCAAGGAACCCAAGATTACTCAGTTATGCTTGTCAGCAATTCAAAGGCTCATGTCACATGAAGTGGTTTCTGAGGTACGTAAAAAATTGCCTGGAGAAATAGTTTGCTTTCTTTCTACTAGAGGTGGAAAGACTTTTGGTATGTTTTTTAACCATATCTGTTTAAAGGGCTTTATTTCATTTTTTCGTTAGAACTTAAGAGAAAAGTTCTTTGGAAGAATAAATGTTTTAAGTATTTGGAGGGAGAAGGTAAAATTACTAGGTAATGAGATGAAGCTAATATTTTAACATTTCATGTGTCTTATCTACTATAGTGATAATAATGAGTCAAGTTTAAAAATTCAATATTTTGTTGTACAAGTTTTTGGTATATCATCAGAATTTTATTATCTATTCCCACAAATGAATATCATGAGCAAAAATGGAAAGTCAAAGTGTTAAAGCTTGCTCCATACAGATGGATATCTTATTTTAGTTCTCATTGCATTTGTTAGCATGGAAATATAGTAGTGACATTCTGTTGCTTAGCGCGGAGATGAATTACTTTTTGGCAGGCTGCTGCTGGGAATATCATTAACATGCTGTGGCAGCTGATGGAAAATGGGTTGGAGGAACTTAAGCTACTTCAAACAGTCCTCGTCCTTTTGACAACTAACACAGTGGTACATGATGAATCCCTTTCTAAGGTAGAGTTCACATTTAAAATATCATACATACTTCTGTAAGATTCCCAAAAGGTAGTAAATACTCTTTTGATATTGTTGCCTTGTCATAAGATCAAATATCTAGCACGAGAACTTGATACTGCTTGATATTGAACTGTAGTACATTATTATTTTCAGTCACAGCATATTATTATGCTTCTTGGGAGGTTTGACTGCAATCTTTGTCATTCCAATCGTGAGTTTTCCTAACTTTTCCCTGAGTTTTGACAGAAAATGCATTTAAATGCAATTCAAAGATCAACCAAAACTTTAATTGCAAAGATGTTGCTTTCTGGGGGAAATAAGAAGCAAGTTGAAGGCCAAACTTGTTATGTTCGTGGTCCTGTGCACATGACATTTTTATTTTTAAAACTAAATTCTATTAGCAGATTTAGATTCAGGTGAATGTACCTGATTAGATACTAGAGATTCAGAACATACAATAAATTAGCTTTTAATCATTTATTATGAAAATCATTAACATTGCATTTTCTTCCAACAGCAATAGTTTGTAAAAGATACAGGAATTACATTTATCATCATTACATTTGTAAAACAAAAGAATAGCAGTCGCTGCACGCAAAGATTCACGAAGGTGTTGATCCAGAGAAAAAGGGGGTAAATTCTCGTATGTCAGTTGACTGAAACAGAAGTACAAAAGGTTACTTACCATTCCCTGTATTTAAAAAAAAACTTTTCCACCTCTTTAGTTACTTCAGAGGGCAGGGAAGAATATCAGGATCAGAATTTTAAAAATACTTTTGCCTTCCACTGATATTTGCTCCACTCAATATCTTGAGTCATTTATTGAGTCAGACTTCTACCAATGGTCAATAAACAGATACTCTACTCTGTATTTGCTATAGATATGTTATCTTGTTTACATTAGTTGTCTCTGCTACACTTTTTTTAGGCAATTGTCCTCTGCTTCCGGTTACACTTCACCAAAGACAATATCACTAACAACACAGCAGCAGCCACTGTGCGCCAAGTGGTTACAGTTGTCTTTGAGAGATTGGTTGCTGAAGATGAAAAGTATAAAGGTAAGAGCTAACGTGCATTATATAAATACAGTATTGGTTCTCTGCCTAGTGTGTAATTGAGCTATAGAGACCATAAGAGTTCCGGTTTAGTTCTCAATACTCTGCGTTGTCTGATATCAGTAAGTGGCTGTAAGTGTGCTATGATTTGCTTCCATTCTCCTGGCTGGAAGAGAAAAATTCTCTGATTGCTTTAGTGACACCTGCAAGAAAGTAAAGTGTGTGTGTTTATTTGTAGGGGAGAAAAAAATGGTAGAATCTCAGAATCTAATTGAAAATTATACTACTATCTTCAGAAGCAGGAAAAGATGCACTTCAATTTAATGTATTGCCTTCCCTTGGGATTTGTTTATTTTAGATGGTGGTGGACAGTCTGTTGTCATTCAAGGAAATAGCAATAGAAGAAGCATCAGTACACTGAGACCATGTGCTAAAGATGCATACATGCTTTTCCAGGTACTTTCTTGTTTTCACAATTAGCGTGTTTCATGGTCTATTATCTTTGTGGAATTTGAGGGATAGTATTCGGGTTAACTTGTGTGTCAGCCTGGCTTAGTGGTAGCATTCTTGCTTCAGAGTCAGAGTGTTCGATGTGATTCCAAGTTCCAAGCATGGCGAGATAGTAACATGATCAACCTATTAATTCTTTTGAATTTTTGTAGTTCTGAGTGTGATTTAGTGCAGTTGCACTAATTGATATTAGTTGATGTTGCATTGATATAGAATTACTTTTATTATTCAGGACTTATGCCAATTGGTAAATGCAGATGCGCCATACTGGTTGGTTGGGATGACTGAAATGACCCGAACTTTTGGATTGGAACTTCTTGAGTCGGTTCTGAATGACTTTCCACAAGTGTTTTTACAGGTAAAGTATTAATTATATATTTCAAATATTTTTGTACTTTAATTGACTTTGTGTATAATTGAGACAAAGGCAAATGAATTAGATTTTCTGGTTGGTATAGTGAATATAATATGAAAACTGTTCACACAGGTAATATTTGATCTTCCAGAAGGAGATTACAAGGCAACTCCCATTAGTTAGCAATCAACTGAAGCGCAATACACGTCTGGCTTCTGGCATTGAAAGATAGATGACTTCCAGGTTGTTGTGTCACTGCCATCACTTCCTGCTCATTGGGTATGCATACCATTGCAGGAATATCACTTTGCATAGGAAGTCAGTGACTCATCAATACATAGGAATTGACGTTGGCCATGGCATTAATGACCCAGAAGTTGGCCTTTTTTTTAAAAAGTTCTCTTTTAACATAGCTCCCCAGTATTGGACCCAGACGGTCGCACTGTAACAGGGTTGCCCTGTATTTGCTCCTTGGCAGTTTGATTTAGGTGCATTAAATTGTGCTTTGAGAAGAACCAGTTATAACGATCATAAAAGAGCTCATAAAGCTTGACTTTATGAAAATAGAAAAGTCAAGTTATTGAAGATTTAATGTCACATTGTTCAAGGAGCACAGTGTACGTTATCAGACTGATTGTGTGGCTGCTGCTTGTATTGGTACAAATTAGGATCATATACATTTATCTGCTTGAGTTCCCTGCTCATTGCTTCCTTTTGGATCATGAATTTTTATTTTTAGAAAGTGAAGGGGACACCAATCTACACATAAAGTAATAGAAAACTAAGATAATTTAAGAATGCTCCTGCTGATTTTTAATTTGATAATTTGAATTCTTGTTACCAGCTTTTACTATTGTGTTTTTGAACTACTTGAAAAGCACAGATGGTCTGTCAGCATCTGTAAACAATTAGATTATTGTTTTGGTTAAGACCTTACACAAGTTGTTGCTGCTAAAAACATGTTTTGCTGTATTATCTATAAAATTCATACTCACACCGATATTTTTTTTAAAAAAACTTAGAATCTAGGTCAAGCAGAGCTTAATTCCTACAGTCAATTGTACAAGCTTAGTCTCGGTCAGTTGCTTGTTAAACAAACTATCGCTCCAATTGAATGTTTTGATTCCAAACCTGTTTTGCATTAATCTAACAACTATTTTATTTTATTACTTTGCATGTGTAGACAACACAAGAATCGGGATACTTGCCACAGCATCAATAACCTGTGTTCAGAATTACAATAGCACAGAATTAGCTGAGTTCAATTTAACATGACATGTAATCAGTTTCAAAATAAATAGCACCATCAGCTGAATTTAGCTTTGTGTAAGTCAAATCAGTGTTAGTTACAGAACAATTTCAGAATCCAAGCAGCATAGTGTTTTCAGGGTTCAACTTAGTGTTGTTTAAGTGCACGTTGATTTCATGATTAAATTATTTGCTTTGCAAAATTAACCTTGCAATTTGTCAGTAAAGTAACAATTTGAAAGTGATTATCTGTCATGTTAACTTGAACCCAGCTAATTCCTCCTTCTGGTGCAGTTTGTACACTCTGGCCTGTTTCAGAAGTCATCCATTGATGTCTTTCTTCCAAATTTGATGACACTTGTCTTTCTCTAAATTCCTTTTTTTATGTCTTGCATACCTCTTAGACCTCAGTTGAACTTCATATCATGAGAACTTAAATGCTGTCCCTCATGCCCTCCGCTCCACCATCAGTAGCTGCATTTTCAGCCACTACACCCAAAACTCTGGAACACTCTTCCTCTATCCCTCTACCTTGCTTCCTTCTTGCCCATCTTCAGGTCGTGGTTGAAGACCTTCCTCATTTTCCCCCCTCCCCCGGCTCGGCGGTATGCTTTGCCACTGTCAAGCGCTCTGGGACACTGCCCTGCGTGAGCGGCACTATATAAATGAAGAGTTGTCGTTGTTGCTGCTATACAATTGATGAAACCAACTGAACTTAAAGAACAATGAATTAACTCTTACGATAAGTCTGAAAATCGATTAATAAATAAATAATTGTCTAACAATTGTCTATATTAATTATCATATAAATGGTAATTTAATATTCTGAGATCTGTCTATTTTGCTATTTACTTTATGTTTTTCTTCCCTCTCTCCAGCATCAAGAGTTCAGCTTTCTTCTGAAGGAAAGGGTGTGTCCTTTAGTGATCAAGCTATTCTCTCCAAATATCAAATTCAGACAGGGTACGAATGCTCCATCCTCCCCAACACCTGTTGAGAAACCATATTTTCCTATCTGTATGCGTCTGCTACGAGTGGTGTCTGTTTTAATCAAGCACTTTTATAGCCTTCTGGTAAGAACTTCATTTTCCTCCTCAAATTAACTGAGATCAAAATAACTGTTTGTGCAAAAAAAATGACATCCATGTGTAAAACAAAATAGATAATTGATTCTCTCAAGGATTTGTTGTAGTGAGTTTTTCAAGAGTTTTTTATATTACATTAATACACTTGAAATGAAAAATACTAAGGAGTTTTTTTGGGGTGAAGGGTGTGGATAGAGTAATCATAACATCTGTGTATCTTTTGAGTCCACCATGAGATAAAATGTATTGCAGAATTTGTGTATCCTTAGTCAAATCTATATTTGAGCAAAGGCTCTTTTGTACAAACTACTTGTTTATATGTATTATCTATTTTAATACTACCTAGGTTTTTGATTTGGTTCTCCTGGCCTGTTTTGCTAATATTTTGCTTTTATTTTTACCAGGTAACGGAATGTGAGATTTTCCTGTCTTTGCTAGTGAAGTTTTTGGATGGTGATAAACCACAGTGGCTTAGAGCAGTTGCAGTCGAATGTATACACAGACTCTGCATACAACCTCAGCTGCTACGGTAACAACACCTTAATATTGCTTAAGTAATGTTAAAACAAAATGTTTTAACTATGTTAATGTTGCATTTATTTTGCACATTTGTTGCAACAATTTATTGCCCAGGATATTATTATTTGGCCTGATATAAAGTTTGTGATATATTTTGACTTGAAGCAAATAGCTTATATTGTTTTGTTTGACATCTAAACAATTTCTAGTCTTCGTAGTTAAATAAAACAGGATTGTGAGAGACTCACTTTTAAACCTTAATTAAATGAATGAGGTAAATGAACTTTGCCTGAATATAATCACGAACCATTGATATAAACAGAGAATAACTTCAGTATTATGTTGTATTGCAATGCATTTCCTTTTATGATAATATTGTGTTACTGTGTTGCAGTAGAATTTCATAAACATCACAACAAATAACAAGAATGGAATTTGAGTCTGAAAATTCTACTTAGTTCCTTCCAGTGTTTGAAACCACTTTTGTGTATCTGCTTATAGATCTTTCTGCCAGTCATATGATATGAAACAGCACTCAACCAAGGTCTTTAGAGATATTGTGAATGCTCTGGGGTCTTTTATACAATCTCTTTTTATTGCTCCAAGCACTGGAAACAATCCAACTGCAAATACACAGACTGGTAAGGAGTTATTTTGTGTTTTATTTGCATCATTAGCCATGTCTTTTATGTTTGACTTTCAACCTCTGATATTTTATAACTTTCTCAATACTTTTGCATTTGAAAATTCTGTTCACATAGTTTGTTCATGGGAACATTGTTTCTAATGACATTCATTTTCGATTAAGTGCTTTGAGATGTCTTGACAACGTTATAAGGTGCTATATCAAATGAAACGATTATTATTATTAATTAAAGAGAGCATTGTTAATAAATAAATGTTCTCATTTATGATGTTCCCATTAAGAAACATGTAGTGTATGTAACAATTTTAAGTTCTAATAAAATTAATTGAGATGAAAAGCATTTCTGTTCCATTAATTTTGAGGTTGAACATAAATAGTGTTCAATAAAAACACAATATAAATAAGTTTACTCAAGAACTAACTGCAAAGTTTTATAGTACAGTAGATCCAAAGTGTCAGAATTATATTTGTATATTTAGTTGCTTTGCAAAAACATCATTAATTCCAAGTGACATCTTACATGAGTGAATTTCATCACTAGGAAAGCCAGAATGTGGATTTATAGTAACCTTGGAAAGGACTTTCATGTTGTGACCAATGGAGAACATTGTAAACATTTTTTATCTTGCCGTCTCTGATCAGTTTAGAAGTACAAATTCTGGAGACAATGAAATCTGTTGGAAGATTTATGGATTTCTGGAACAGATTATAATCATCTATGTTGTGAAAAAGGGACAATTTCTATTAAAACTTGTCACTCGCAATATAAGAATGAAAAATCTATAGGAAGACGAACTCAGGCAAATGGAATGATGTCCTAAGCAGAAGGTTGTCAATGATATAAGTGCATAGATAATATAACGTATTCATAACTCTTATAAAATAAATCTATGATAAACTCTGTTTTTGCAGGCACTAGTGGAGTTGGTGGTCCTGCTGCAACACAGAATGGATCAGGGATGAATGCGACAGTGGGAGTTACCGCACAACCAGCATTTGAATATAGGGGCATGTGGATTCCAATTCTAAACGTTTCTACTCAGGGCATTGCTAAACCAGCCTAGTGAGTGTTTCTTGTCTTAACTTCTTACTAGAGTAGAAAGCATTAGGGGGAAATCTGTTGCCGGAACTGATCAGGCAGATATGAGCCATCAATAACTATTCTTTGTCAATATATTTTATAGAAAATTAAGTCAAAATTAAATATTTTTAAACGACTGTAGAATTAATCAGTACGACTGATTATCAGTGTATATGTATTCTAGAAATTTTGAAGGTGAAAATGCATTTTTTAAAAATATTCAACTTGTGTTTTAAAAAATTCTTCAGCTTAGAAATGCTAGATAAAGTGGAGCCGCCTACCATTCCAGATGGTTATCCCATGTCTGTAGCATTCAGTTGTCTTCTGGACCTGGTGAGAGGTATTACTGCCATGATCGAAGCAGAATTGGCACAGGAAGAAATGGTCTCGCGGACTCGTGTTGAGAAGCAGGCCACGGATACCCAGCCTTCAGAACAGAAACCCCAACTATCACAAAAGTTTCCACAAAATGAAAAAGATCTTGGTAATAAACTTGGCCTTAATAATAGGCGACTTGTAACTATATTTTATCATAGATTTTGTTTAGACAGTTTTCCTGCTGAAAACACAAAGCTGTGTTTTCCATATATTGCAGATATATGATTAGTACTTGCAGAAAACAGGGGAATGCTTTTTAGCTTGAACATATTTGTCAGTTAAAATACCATTGGTAAAATTAGCACAAAGCTACCTCTCGTAAGTGCTCCAGTGCTTTGATATTTCAGAATAAATTTGTCAGAGTTGGAATTTGCGTTACTTTTAAGTGAGTCATTTAAAAAACTAAATACTGTATTCAATGTATCAATAGATTGTTTATGTGGTTCCTCTTACAAGCAGATTATTTTTAAATTCCAAAAAATTCAACAAATGATACCAAAAAATGGGTTTCAGTTTTTAGGAGCATTTGTTTGGGGAATAAAATGTATCAAAATAGTCAGTAGTTTTGAGTTCTTTCATTGAACAAGTGAATGATTTAAAACTAAAGATTTACAAATCAACACTTCCAATTGTAATGCAACGGAATCTCAAATAGTTTCCCCTCACTTCCTGTAGAGATCTGATCAAGAGTAACAAAAGTAGAGTGTGCATTCCATTCCAATAATCTGTCTCTGGGATTTCCATGTATAGGTGGGATACACAGAAATCTCATCTTGATTTGGATACTCTTAAAACATGGCGATGGACTTCCGCATGTGTTAGACAGTCCGCTTACCAAAAAAAGTAACAAAATGCTAGCACCTTACCCAATCAAGTCATTTATGCTTGAAATACAGTTGAAATTACCTTTTGTATAACAGCTCATGTTATATATACTGCTTTTGAGTGTTTTCGTGGAATGATTTGTGAAAGAAATTGAGAAGTTGAAAATAATTCTATAATTTATTTCCAGTTCCTCGAGCTGTCTGGGAAGAAATGGTTGGTGCCTGCTGGTGCGGTTTACTTGCTGCACTCTCCCTGTTGCTGGATGCAAGGTAAATGCAGATTTTTTTCCATCCGATATGACATTTTCTCCCTGAATAATAGCCTGAGCCAGAAGAACCGCAATTGTGTGAAAAGCCTACCTGCAAACACATAACTTTGTGACAAGACTTACATACCCTTTAACTCGTTTGAATTTGTTTAACTACTTTTAATGCCAAACAAGTTATAAAAGTGATTCGATTCTGATAATTAATAAAATTATGCACAGATCAGAATTTCCAGATGATGTGAAAGGTCAGAATTTTATACTTAGATCAGTACTTTTCTACAATTAGGAATGTACCTATCCAGTTTCAGCATTAACAGGAAAAGCCAATATTGCTCACTATTTTTCATTAGCAAAGGAAATTGCTTTGAATACTAGTTGCTTTGAGACTTTTTCCAATCGATGCCACATGATTTTCCTCCTTCCCATAAATAGCAGACCGATATTGCCTTTTTTTAATATTTGGTGCTGTTGCAAATGAAAGAAAAGCATTTTTTTAGACAAAGGGGCTGTGGGTTCCAGTATTGCATTTATCATTATCTTTATATTTTTAGAAGCTAAAACCATTGGGAACTACTTGTATGTAATTTTCAGCCACACTGGAATGTAACATTTGTTAGTTTCTTTACATCAAATTCATACTAAGCCCATTTTGCCATTTCGCCAAATATGACCGTTACCTAAGAAAAAATCAATTGTGTGAGTAAATGCAACATATGACATTAACAGCAGTTTTTTTTAAAAAACCTGAAAATGACAATACAAAAATAAATTGAATACTGCAAAGGAGTCCTGTAGCTCAGTGGTTAGAGCACTCGCTTTGCAAGTGAGAGACCTGAGTTCAATTCCAGGCAGAGGGCGAAACCATGGGCAAGTTTCCTTACTCCACACGCCTAATAATAATCCCTCCAAAAAACAAAAACAATAATAAATTGGTCATTTTCAATCCATGACTGTTTGTGGGACATTGCTGTGCGCAATTGGCTGCCGCGTTCCCACAAATATACAGTCAATTCACTTTACAGTGTGTTATGTGAAGCGCTTTGGGACGTCCTCCCGACGTGAAAAGCGCTATATCAAATGCAAGGATTATTATTAAGGAAAGAAGCAGCCCTGATAATAGTTTATTGTTGTTCTGATTAGATTACCTTTAAACTCTGTTACTTCCTGTGGAAGCATTTAGGGTATGAAATAGCATGGTCATCATTGTGTGCTTTATCAGCTGCTGCCCATAAAACAAATTTTAAACAACCCTCACCAACTCTGCAATACTATACTTAATCAAATACTGGATATCCAAACGTAATTGCATTACATTCTCTCCTGATCATGAGAAACTGTTCAAGATCCATTCTTGTGTTCGGTAACATCAGGACCCTGTGGCTGAATTACTATCTTGTAATTGTTCACAGCGATCCATCATTTTATAAATATGACACTCAATCTAAAATTGTTTTAAAGGATCAGTGTGCCTAGAGTTGATCTGATATGGTATCATGAAAACACTTCTGGAATTTGGAAAATTTTGATCTGTTATTTTTAATCATATTTTAAAAAAAAACGTTTTTAAACTTTTTCTCGAGTCTTACATCATAACTGAATCAAGAACTTTGGCTTATTCTTGTTGGGGAACAAACAGAGATTTTGACATGACCTAATAAACATTTCCAAATTCTGAAAAGGATTAATAAAGCAAATCCACACAATGTACAAATCAAGTACTTTTATGCTGAGGCCACTTGAGCATTATGACAACTCAATAATAGCCTCTGGTGGTAGAAATCAAATACTGCATGAGTACAGCACTTTGCCTAAACATGACTTTAAAACCCTGTGCCAATATACCCATAAAAAGAGCTTCTACTCATAATGTTCCAAGGCTTTTTTCAATAGACTGTAAACTTTAACATTTAAATAAGCTTATCAGTTAGAAAATATACCTCTGTTTACCGAGCAGTAAGTAGCAACCCAGTTGTCAGTCGATTGGCGGATTGCTTTTCTGGGGGTAATGATGCCTTAAAAAAATAATAATAATAATTTGGTTACTCAATCCACGACTGTTTGCTGGACACTGTTGTGCACAATTGGTTGCCACGTTTCGCCCACAAAATATAGTCAATTCAACAACAACAACAAATTACGTTTGTCTCATGCCTTTCACATCGGGAGGACGCCCTAAAGGCGCTGGACAGTCAGGGATTTGGACCCAAGCAGGGGGTTGGGATCAGGAGAGATGGAGGATAGGAATAGGAGGGTGACCCAAGATTAAAATTAAAATTCACTTCACAGTATATTCCGTGGATAATTAATATATTTAAACAAAAATTCACTTTACAGTATATTCTGTGAAGCGCTTTGAGATGTCTCGAAGATGTGATAAAGACGTGATATATCAGATACAAGAATTATTATTACATTATAAGATTTTGTGGAATTACTTTGTTGTATATTAAGAAGCTGGAAAATGAGTTGCATTTCTTTTACAGCACTGATGAAACTGCTACAGAAAACATCTTAAAAGCAGAAATGACGATGGCTTCTCTCTGTGGCAAATTAAGCCTTGTCACCCCAAGAGATGCATTCATAACTGCCATTTGCAAGGCTTCCCTGCCCCCGCATTACGCATTAACTGTTCTGAACAGTGCATCTTCAAGTGGCTTTCATAAAAGTGAGTAGCTTTTACTTAACCTGAATATTTTAAAAGCTGAGAAAGGTGGTGTAGCTAAATGACTTTCATAATGAATTTATCTAAGAGCTTGTATCCTAATGCAAGAACATGACATGTCAAGGTTTCATAAGGCTTCATATAATATTTTTCTTCATTTTAGCTTACTCCATTCAAGGTCAGAATGTCCAGATGATTAGTCCATCAAGTGAATCACACCAGCAAGTCGTTGCAGTGGGTCAGCCGCTTACTGCTCAACCCCAAGGGACTGTTATGGTAAAATCTCTTTTCCCTATTCTTGCAAAAATTGTATTGAAATACTGAGTCCTGGCCACTGATTTGATGTAAATAAAACTTGTTTTTTTCCCCCCTGGCGTTGAAGTTGACTGCAAAGAATATTCAGTGCATGCGAACATTGCTGAATTTAGCTCACTGTCACGGAGCAGTTCTTGGAACATCATGGCAACTTGTGTTGGCCACGCTACAGGTACAGTAGATGTATAACATTCATTTCTACCTCAGTTGATTTACATGTTTTCAGTATTTAGTTTAAGATGTCTCCTCTATTTCTGTAGTAATAAACATTCTAAACATTTTCCAGATTGCATGTAGCATATAATTGGTCCGAGTCGTTATTCGCATGAAGGGCGCTATATAAGTTATTGTTACTATGTAACAGACCTACTTGACCCCTTTCTGTATTGGTCCATTTTCCAATTGTTGTGAATTATACACAAAAAAATCCAATGCTAATTTTGCCTCACCATATACATTCAATGGAAGTAAAGTACTGTGTGTTCAGCATCTTGTTTCAGATACAGTATACATTCCTGGTAGCTTTATTACAGCAATTGAAAATTATGGTTCATTTGATTTCTTTGCAATTTTAGTTTTTTGCTTTTGTACCTAATTCAGTTATTAAGGAATAAATAAATTGAGTTATTGACTAACTGATATATACTTTATTCTTACTAGCATGTTGTATGGATTTTGGGTCTGAAACCTGCAAGTGGGGGTGCTCTGAAACCAGGGAGAGCTGTAGAAGGTCCAAGCACAGTAAGATTATCGTTTCTATATGATTTTCAAATCCTCTTCATTTTTTTCTATTGCCTGAAAATTTTAAATATTGAACTTAAGAATTATAATGCATCCAAAACACACGAAAGTGAAAACAAAATGTGGAATTAAAGCTTCACATTTTATATTTTTTAAAAAATCTCAATTAAAATTATATATATATAGGGAAGTGTGTTTTCAGAATGATTTGTATACACATTGAATATCAAGTAGAAATGAATGTGTAAAGGCATTTGCAAATACAGTATCTTGAAATGGTGCTGAAGCTGCTTTAGTTCTTGTTCATGCTTATTCATTTAAGTATATATTGTTATTTATTTCTCCCCCCCCCAGGTTTTAACTACCGCTGTCATGACTGATTTACCAGTGATTTCAAATATACTTTCAAGGCTGTTTGAGAGCTCACAGTGAGAATTATTTTTGTATATTTCATAAGCAAAAAATATTGATTGTTCTCATGACATTGTAAGCAGTTTTGCAACTTAAATTTTAAATCTGTTTTAAAGGTACCTTGATGATGTGTCACTCCATCATTTAATAAATGCCCTATGCTCCCTATCAACTGAAGCCATGGATATGGCATTTTGGAACAACAAGGTACAAAAAAATCTTACATTTATTGTTCACACATTTTTTAAACTACGGATATTAATATTTTGAAAGCAGCGGCATAAATGTAGGCCACAAACCTAATGCGTTATCTTTTGCTATATCTTGGTTAATGCATGGTACTACAGAATTATTAATGTAAGTGATGTGTTGTCTGAATTAGCAGCTCAGGGGCAAAATTAGAGGTTCCGAAAGCTCTGGCTTATGATACCCACCGTCTTTAAGCAATCAGCTTCTTAATTAATTCCATTAGCTTGGCTATCTGATTTATTACAATTTTCTACGTGCATTTACAAGTATAATGAGGGTGCAAAATTCATACTCATTCGTAGAAGAAATTAGGAATACGTTTTGTCATAGAAAGAAATGATCAGTGAATGAGAGACTTTTAGAGGTTTATTTCTGTAACAGCACAGCTTGGCTAGACATTTAGAATTTTTGCTGGACCCCAAGTTTATTTTACATTTACTATGAATTATTTGCTTTCAATCCACAATTTGCTGTCTGCTACATTAGCATTAATTGGGAAATTAGGATAGGAATAACCCCCAAATAAGTTAGTCAGAATTGGGTGTGTTTATTATTACTGTTTATTGGAATGCCATAGGTTTCACCCACAAAATACACAGTTCACTTTATCATAGATTCTGTGAAGCGCTTTGAACATCTCAAAGACGTGATAAGGTGCTATATCAAATGCAAAGATTATTATTAATATAGAGAAAATCAGCAAGAAGCTTCTGATGGACATAGTTGTTCTGGTTTTTATTGTTAAGGAGATGATTCTTCAGGTATATCTGTCTGCAATATATTTGGGTGATGTCCATAGCATTCAAAGCCAAACTATTACATAACATTGACAGATGTACACTTGATAACTGATGTATTTTTTGATTTAGGAACCTTCGCTGTTTGCAGTTGCTAAATTGCTTGAAACAGGGTTGGTGAACATGCACCGAATTGAGATTCTTTGGAGACCTTTAACAGGGCACCTTCTGGAGGTAAAGATTGTATTGATGTCTATTATTCAGTGTAATCCAAATCGCCATTAAATTTGAGTGCTTGGTGTACTGTCATGTAGATGACAGTATAAACACCACCCAAACTTTAATGAACCCTTCAGTGTTTTTTAATTTACAAAATCAATCAAAAGAACATCTCTTGTCTGTGATAGAGATAAGACTTGTATTGTGCTGCGTGGTTTTGAGATTTGGGAACACTAGTTACTTTGTAAGATTAAATATTTGAAGACTTGGAATACAATATATTGCATATCTACACTGCATATTTCCATGGCTGTTTTGAAATGCAGCATATTTATGACGTAAACATGTGAGAAGACAGAATGATATCTAAAGAAATTAATACAAATTGGACTATTCATTCACCATGTGGACTTTCAAGTGGAGATTTCAATAGTTTATCTTATTGTGTAAAATCACATTCAATGATGGTGGAGTCACGGAACCTGGTGCGGGAGAGGACACGAGCTGCAGTCTTCTGGATGATCTGCAGCTTGTGGAGGGAAGAGTTGGGGAGGGTGACAAGGAGGGAGTTTCCGTAGTCGACCCTTGAGGTGACGAATGCATAGATGAGGGTTTTGGCAGCCTGAGGGGTGAGGCAGTGGCGGAGTGTTTATTCACTTTGTAATTTGTTGGTTTCATGCTGTGCCTTTCTGTTTTCCTTCCTGTTTGCAATCTTGCCTTTTACAGAAGGTAAGTGATTCCCCTTTATCACAGTGTCATTATACATGTAATCATTGGTAAACAATTCGCTTAAACTTAGATTTCAGTTATCACTCGGGCATACATCTTCTGCTCTCTTTTGGTCCACCAACAAGTTTATGCAAGTCAGTTTTGTTAACGGGCATCACACTCATAGTACAACAGCCCAGTATATTTTATGAGAATTATGTATTAACAGATATTTAATTTTGTAAGTTAAAGGAGGTATTTCCCATTCCAGTGACATCTGGTACTGTTATTGTAATTTGGCAGATTACTAAACAATGCTTCAAACTTGTCATCTTTGAAGAATTGTTTTGTCTGTTTGTTGAATATATGATCTTGTGTAGAATTTATGTACAAAATATATTTGATAAATATTCTGTCGCACAATGTAAACACCACTGATGTACTTCAAATCGGTGTGCTAAGTTTGAAATGAAGTATAATTGGGAATGTTTATTTTCACTTTAAGGCTGTGGGTTTCTGCCCCAGTTTGCAGAATGTTACTTCCTAGAGCCATGTCGATGGATGTCTATATGGTCCTAGAGCATTTGGGAATATTGACTTATTTCTGAAACTTAAAACTGTTCCATACTGTACAATTCTTTGGTTCTCTTCATATGAAGCCTTGAAATTCTGTTGCATTTTAGTTATTTCATAAAGTATGAATTATTTTATGTTCCAGTTTTTAAATATTAACACTGTGGCATTAAAATTGTCAACTTTGTGTTGCATGCGTCATAGACATGAGTAAATGAAAGGGTTAAAAATGCAATATTCTATTGTTTTGCATATATTGTGTATAAATGTAAGGCATGATTTTGAATATTCCTTTGTTTTCCCCTTTCCTGTAAAGACATTAGCTCATGTTGGGGTATGGGTTCCTGGGACCCTAGTCTGCTGGTATCTTACCCAACTCTTCAGATTCACTCTTTGAACTGTGATTTTACAGCTTAGCTCACTGTAGCAGGGCACAACAACAACAAATTACATTTGTATAGCGCCTTTCAAGTCAGGAGAATGTCCCAATAGTAATAGGCAACAACAACAATAAAGTTACATTTATAGAGCGCTTTTCACGTCAGGAGGACATTCCAAGACACCATAGTAGCGGCTGACCTTTCCTCATCTAACACTCACCTGCGCTTGCTGAAAGGTCACAGGATGTTGATCACCAGGTGACTGATTTACCATGTACACCATTCCCTAGTTCAAGGGAACTAAGGTGACATTTTCCGTCATTATTGCTTTTGGTTATATTTTTACATCTTAAAATTTCAATACAAGATTTGTCATTTTTTGATCATTCTGTTTTGAAATTGTTTTTTTTGATTGTTTTGGGGTCATCATGTGAAGGAATATGTTCATAATCTTGCATTTCACGTTAAGAGGATGTCTCAAAAGCACTTCAGGATTTATTGAAAAGTGTAGTGTCTGTGTTTTGTAGGGAAATGTGATAACCAGTTTGTGCACAGCCATACCCTACAGTATGGTAATTCACCTATATAGTGAATTACCATATTTATCGGGGTTGGGGGGGCGGGGGGGGTGTTGTCGGCCAGGACACAGGAAAAAAAAATCCCTTCTCCTTTCAAATAGTGGCATGGGATCTTTAACTTAATGGGGTCCATCTGAAATAAGCAGGCGGGACCTTGGCTTAATGGCACACCCAAAGAATAAACTGTGTTCAGAGTCCCAATGTGGGGCTTGAATACAGTCTCCTGACTCCAAAGGTGAGAATGCTGCCAACTGAGTCAGTCTGATGCCTAATTCTTGAGTCATGTGGAGGGATAATGTCCCAGTAGGAAGTGATTCTTGGTCATTATGTGGAGGGGTGCCATGGGTAAAAAGGGGTAAATTGGCTACAGTTTATATCTGTAATGGAACATGGAAGAAATAGTTGTTGCAAGTGAAGTAAAATAAAAGATTTATTTTAATCTTCCCCAAATCTGGTCAAGTAAGCTAATGCAGTTTTCAAAGCACTCGGAGACGCATGAAGGGGCACTATGTGAATGCAAGTTGTTGTTGTTAATATCAATTTAAATTTATCAGTGAATTTAAGTAATAAAGTAGGATCTTTTCAGGTTAGAGAAACATGAGAGGATTTAGACCATGCTGGTAATATCCCAAAGAATTCAATGATTGCACTGGGATGTATAGGGATGACTGCGTGATAATTTGTTATGAAATATTGCTCGTAGGAACTGTGAAAATAACAGTAACGGACAATTAGCACAACTACTATTTGGGTGCTGTACAAGTCTTCTTGCTGAGTGGTGTGGCAGAATAAAGTAGATTTTGTTTTATTTTCAATTTAATTAGGCAGTAAAATGTGGGAATTTCAACTTGAATTCATTCACTAGCCACAGAGCTTCACAGATACTCATCCTCCCGACCTTCCGCATGCGTTCAAGATTTTTAAGATTTTGAAGTCTTGAGACCCTGAATTTTATTAAGGGCTCCATTCGCTGGTATCAGTCATGTTGTATTATATATTCATGTTTATGCATGTTTGACTTCTTGAAAGGGTTTGCCTTTGCCTCACAGTTTCCTATCTGTATTTGGCTTCTAGGTATGCCAGCATCCAAATGCCAGGATGAGGGAATGGGGAGCAGAAGCTGTAACTGCTCTGATAAAAGCTGGATTATCTTTTAAACATGATCCACCACTTTCCCAAAATCAGGTTAGTTCAACTCAAGAAAGAAGGGTAATAATAGTTTTTGTCGCCCATTTACTCAATAGCAATTGACTAACAAGAAGACAGAAAGTTACACCTTGCTCCAGGATAACAGTCTAATACTACCAATTGTTAGTAATGGAAGGATGCAGTTCTGTACCATTATATCCTTCTACTTGTTGAAGTCTTCAACAGGTCATTGCTCATTGAAACTAAAATACGGTGAACTTGCACAAAATGTAAAAGCATCACTGACTGCTATGGAGTTTTAGGACCTGCGGTAGATTACAAAACTACCTCCCTGTGCCTCAGTTCTTATAATTGCAGTCAGACACTCAGTTACTTTAATCTTTCACAGGTGTATGGTAATCATTTGACTTGTTTTGTCTAAATGAATAATTTCTGCACAAGAACTTTGGGTAATAGCAAAGCTATCCTTTGATATGTTCTGCAGAATCCAAGAAGGTTCTGTGATTCATAATATTTACACCAGAATGTTTTGAATATTGATATACAACCAACTTGAAAGTAGTATAGGGAGAACAGTGTTTATTCCAAGCTGAGAGTCGAGTAAATTAATGCCCTGTTTAAGCCTCCAACCTGTAGTAAATCAGCTAGAAATTTGAAACAAGGACCCATTGCACAGAAGTTCTGTGTAAACAGCGTTTTATGTGAGATTTCAAGAATATCTTCCATTGAAAATAGATCACAAGTATTGTGAAAACTGTACCTTGTGACCTTTTTTCTTGAGGTTTTGTGTTTCGTTTCACTTTTTTTCTATTTCTTGTAATTGTTTCATCAAAGATGTACAGCACATTCTGCCTTTGTGTCTGCTGGTGCTAGTTCTTAAATTGGAGCCTTCAGCTCCCCTCTCGACTCTCTTCCCCCTCCTCGCTCCCTCCCTTCCTTCCCCTCACCATTTCCCCCCTCCTCGCTCCCTCCCTTCCCTCACCCTGACCATTTCCCCCCTGCTCGGGTCATGACCCAACTGTGCAGCGCCTTGGGACGTCCTCCTGACGTGAAAGGCGCTTTATAAATGGAATCTTGTTGTTGTTGTTGGAGCTGACCACACTCATACTTCTGCTCTTTCACTATTGTCTTTAATATTATTTTTCCTAGTTAAAAAAGATTGAGCACTTTGACAAGTTTTGATGTCATGAATAGGTGCTATATCAAATACTAATAATAATACTTGCGCCTGATATAATGCTTTTCACATCAGGAAAGCATCTCAAAAATACTTCACAGGATATATAGTAAAGTGTAGTGACTGTATTTTGTGGGTGAACCACAGCAGCCAATTTGCACACAGCATGTTCCACAAACAGAGCTGAGTGATCAGTTTTATTTGGAGAAATGTTGGCCAAGATACCGAGAAAAATTCCCTTCTCTTTTCGAATAATGCCATGGAATCTTTAAGAGACAGGCTTAATGTCTCATCTGAAGGACATCTTCTTCAATGATGCAGCAAAACCAGTCACACAATCAAACATGCCTGTCAGTCGTGCTCAAGGTTTAAAATAAACTGGTCAACTTTTTTATTGATTGTAAAAACCTTCATCCAATCTAAGTGGCTTAATTTCTTGAAAATACTTCAGTTTTGTGTACTCTGAATTTGGTTTTATACTTTTATTTTCCACACAGAGACTGCAATTGCTGCTGTTGAATCCACTGAAGGAGCTGTCCAACATTGTACACGCTGATATCCGACAGAAACAACTGGAGTGTGTGCTCCAGATCCTACAGAATGAAGGAGACAGCCTAGGACCCGGGTGGCCATTGGTTCTGGGAGTAATCGGTGCAATCCGGAATGATCAAGGGTCAGTATAGTACTTTGCTGTTCGTCTCCTCCATTTTCCAGTCCTTTTGACACATAACAAATTATAGCCCAAAGCAGATTCCCAAATAGATATTTTATGGTGTAGTTACAAATTGTAGCTCAATGTCCCTAGTTTTAACTTGTGAATTATGTGATTGCATAGTGTGGCAGGCACAAACCTTACTCAGTAACACACATACTCAGTCTTTTGGTTTGCTATGCCTGAAATTCATCTAGTTTGATATGCCTGAAGTCTAAGCATAATCTGTTTTCAATTATTCTTATAATAGTGGATATCTGATAACTCATTGTTTTTCAAATTTAACCAAATTTGTTACCAGATTAGCATGATAAACTTTTAACCTTATGAATATCCAGAGCATAAGTATGATAAACCAAAATAAATAGATGTAGATCTACTGATTTAGTAAATTAGAAACATTGCTTTAAGCAGAAAATAAACAGTGCAATCATAACAAATCTTTTAGAATAAAGGTTGGACATAATAATTAAATTGTAGTTTAGTGACAAATGTTGCTGCTTCTAATTACTCCTAATATAAAATAACATTTTAATAACAAATCACATTTTGGTTATGTAAAGCATAGAATTTTCTATTTGGCAGAGCAAACACTCCCACTAGGTAGTACATGTTCTAATAAAATAGATAAAAATATAATGAATACAAAATGTTCTTTCTTGTTTTGTTCTCCTCTGTGGCTACATGATAGTTTTGTTGTGCAGTGATGGATGTTGTCCTCTCCCTTTTTGCAGAGAATCATTGATTCGCACAGCATTTCAGTGCCTACAGTTAGTTGTGACTGATTTTCTTCCCACCATGCCAAGTACCTGCCTTCAAATTGTTGTGGATGTAGCAGGCAGCTTTGGACTTCAGAATCAAGAGTTGAATATCAGTTTAACATCAATAGGGCTGTTGGTAAGTCTTTTTCATACTAAACAAGCATCTTTGAACTTCTTTAAGCGCTCTGGGATGTTTCCCTGTGTGATCGGTGCTATATAAATACAAGTTATTGTTGTTATCTTCTTCTATCTGGCTTCAAATGATACATTAGAAGGGGCCAATGAATAGAAATATTTTAAGTAAGACTTAAAAGCAGGAAGAACACTGTTTTCACCTTTATAACCTGTGTTTGAATCCAGCCCAACCCATGGGAAGAAAGTATTCTCTCCCTCTAACTGCTAAGGAAGGGTCTATGTGAAATTGATTTGGGTGGTTTCTAGTAGGTGATTGACCACGGAACAAAATTGCATATACAGAAAAACTTGTTAGAGCGCAGTCAACTGGGTAAGTGTGTCAGCAATTGTAATAAAGTGAGGTGTGAAAAGAAGCCCCAGATAGCACTTTCCTTTGCAAATTGACAGCAACACTGTTTTCTGCACATAGCATGCAGGCGCAGTGAGTAGAAAGGGATATTGGCAGTTCCACCAATAGCCAGTTTTAAGTGTATAGAATTGGTACATTTTTTATAAGGGACTAATTCTGTCTCCTTATGTCATGCTTTGTGTGTTATTTTCAGTGGAATATATCAGACTATTTCTTCCAAAGAGGTGAGACAATTGAGAAGGAACTCAATAAAGAAGAAGCCTTGCTGCAGAAACAGGCGGAAGAGAAGGGAGTGCCTCTTAATCGGCCGTTTCACCCTTCTCCACCATTCGACTGCCTCTGGCTGTGCCTTTACTCAAAGCTCGGAGAGTTGTGTGTGGATACAAGGCCAGCGGTTCGCAAAAGTGCAGGGCAGACATTATTTTCTACAGTGGGCGCTCATGGAACCTTGCTACACCATGCTACCTGGCACACAGTCTTGTGGAAGGTACCAGAAAAACTAGCTTTGAAAAACTTAATTGTAATGTCTATTTTAACTCAATCAAACGGCCTTTCCATTATGAATTCCGCAGTGCCTACAACTGTCCTACAATTCTATCCTAATTTTTAAACTGTTAATAAATTATAGTAAACTTAATTCATTTTAAATTCTGGGGAACTAAGATTGAGAAATGAAAGGGAACAGCTCGTTAGGTCTAATGGTCTATTCCTATCCCTAAAAAAAACTTCTTATTGTGCAGGTGAAGTGGATATTTTTTAAAAAAAATAATCTGTCTAATAAAACTTTAGTGTTTTCCATATTTGGCTAAAAACAAATTTACCTCAAAGCTAGAATAATAATAATAACAAATCTTCAATGTTAACATTTTTTGTGTGTGTGTTTAGAAAGAATGCTCTCAAATTGTAACTGTCTTAACTGTATGTTTACTTCACTCTGGTAATACTGGTATCAGATTAAATCTAGCTCTTCGATTTTATGCCCCTTATGATTTCAGACAGATTAAAATATTTTTAATAACTTATTTTTCAGTTTAAAATAACTTGATTTCATATTTCAATCATATTAACTAACACTGGAGATACTTACTCAGAACTTGTCCCACCCAGGGGCAAAATTCCTATTTACTAAACCTCATTTACTCTGTGATGACATTGAGAAAGCAATATTATGCGACAACTTAGGTATATGTAAACTGGCAGTAGATTTATTTTCTGAAGGGGAGACATTATCCGGGTCTTTAAAATGCCCGAGAGCCCTAAATAATGTCAATGTAAATGGGTTACTTGACAGATTATGAGTATAGTGCTAAATGACACTGATTTAAAAATAAAAATCTCAATTAAGACTAGGGATTAGATTTTTATTTGCCTCTTCGGGGACTGGACAAGAGAAGAAAGGATCAAATCTATTTAACTAATTCAAAAAAAAATTAATAACAAAACTGAATAAGTATCCTGGATTAGTGCTAAAATGGCAGTGTAAATGGGGCACAATATGAATAAGCAACCCTTTTTCTCAGTTTCTAAGCACTTATTTCACAAAGTTTTGATGTATTTTTTTCTCATATTTATGCCCACTATGCTTACTAAATGCTGTTTGTTCTTGAATCAAAATATTAGGTTTTGTTTCCCCTGTTGGATTGTGTTAGAGAATCGTCCAGTACAGCAGACAAAGAGAAGATCGAGTCTGGTGGAGGAAATATTCTTATTCATCATTCAAGAGACACTGCTGAGAAACAGTGGGCAGAGACATGGGTTTTGACATTGGCCGGAGTGGCTAGAATCTTCAATACCAGAAGATATTTGCTGCAATCATTAGGTAGGTTAGGTTAAGTTCTGTAATTACTTACTTTAAAATGTGCCATTTTTAATATGTTAATAATGTATACAAAACCTGAAATCCCTAACACAAGCCCTATCTTCTTTCATTTCACTGCAGGAGACTTCTCCAAAGCTTGGGATGTATTATTGGATCATATCCAGTCAGCTGCACTCAGCAAGAACAGTGAGGTTTCACTGGCAGCTTTAAAGAGTTGCCAGGAAATTTTGCAGATTGTGACTCCTGTAAAAGAATTTGACAAGCCAGAAGGGCTTTCTGGAGTTAACATGCCTGTTTTTGTAGGGGCATTAGTTCCTCCAGGGCCAGCTAGGGTCTTGCCTAGGACAGACTCAGTGGGAGAAAGGCTAGGAAGATACAGTGGAACTGAACTGAATCCAGCAGTAGATGAGATCGAGGATTCTGCCCTGTGGTGGGCTGCGTGGAACACATGGTACAAGATAGGCTCAGAGAGCACAAAGCCACCTGCCTCCTGTGACAAGCTCTTCTTTATTCCTAGTCAACCATTTCTCACAGCCCTTGTCCAGATCTTTCCAGCTCTATACCAGCACATCAAGTCCGGCTTCAGTATGGAGGATCTGAAGAAGTTGGGTGTGATACTGCACGGTGCTGTGTCAGTCCCAATCAGTTCTGATGCCTCTCCGTTTATTCTTCCATCCTACACCGAAGCAGTACTAACTAGCCTACAAGAAGCAGTGCTGATTGCTTTAGATGTCCTACAGAAGGTACTAAGATTATTTCAATACTGATATCACCACACCAATAGGTGGTAAATATACGTACTGCAGACTGGTCAAACAAAAACAGTAAAAGGAAAACTCACACAAAATATTACAAACACATGCGAGTTAATGGGATTTGAGCATGTTTGTGTGATGTGATGTGTTGACATTTATTCACTTCCCTACACGTGCTGATGGAAAAAAGCTGTTGATCTTCAGGAACAGTTTAGCCTGGAATTGCATTTGATCCATTATTGGATTAACAGATGTGAATATTTCAAACAAAAATCAAAGCTTTCCCAGAGGTAGTTAACCAAGCTCTTAGACCCTTTCTGATAACTGCTGATGAAATAATAACCAATATGATTAAGAGGCTTTTATATGTTACGATCTGCTAGGATCCAGCCCTAACAAGCTTTGTACCCTTTTATTGCCTAATGCAAATTTGCTGATAGATGGGTTTTAGTGACGTTAGTTTTGGCCATTTAGAGGGCATGGTACTGCTCATTTGTATCATTACATATATTTTAATGGTGTTTGCTTAATAGGAACGAGCGGATACAGAAAACGTTTTTCCCCCTGTGGGGTTGGTCCCATTAAGAGGCTTCTACTGTACAAGGAGGGGAATGAGCGATGGAGCAACAGTCAGTATATTAAAATACAAGAGTACCTTCCTTATTACATGTAATGTGCAAATTCTCCATTTTAAATGCAAAATCCATTCTATTGAATGAACGAATGTAGCTCATGGATGGTAGGTTACTATAATGTTAGGGACAGTGAGCCATTTTCTTGCTTGTAAAAATCAAATGTTTATTTTTTCTGTTTGGTTAATTGCAAAGTTGTATGCTTGTGTTTGTCCCTTCAGCAATTCATTATAAAGATAGTTCACAAATGTTCCCTGCTAGGCATTGAATTTACTTAATCCCAACGTCCCTTTAATTCCGATGAAATAAATCTGAAACTCATAGTTTTATTGTAGAAAAATGTTGTTGCTGTTTTAGGTTTCAGTTAAAGTGATCAGAATTTATTTTTCTGTATTACATTTGTGTATTAATCTGGGACTCCTTCCCTAAACCCAGATATAGAACCCGTCTTGTGGGCCTTTCACTTCTTAATATATTTATGTGCAGTACAGAGGTTGCCAGTGTAAATTGCATACTGCATTGTGGGCGCATATTTGGTAAATGGGCCCCAGACATAAACTCTATGTGAAGTAATGTTATGTCTGTATTTTCATATGGACAGTGACATTAGTTATGCAGATAGATTTGGCAAATGTTCGTATTTTTGAAACAGTAGAATTTTAAGCAGTTATATACTTGGAAGAAAATTAAGCAAAGGGAATGTTAGTTTACCAGTCCACAGGATTATTCATTGTTCATTTTAAAAAAGATGATCCAACGAGAAATGTTGAAATGCTGGTATAAGTAGTATGGTATAATATTAGAAAATATTTAACTACCTTTTATGACGTTACAAATGCCTGTTCTGAAATGGTGTATCTTAATTGGAAAAGAATTATCTTTCTTTGATTTCCAAATTTTGTAGCTCAAAAGCAATCTTGAAACTAAAAAAGGAGACCATGCTTCACAAAACCAACAGCAGAAAGAAGCGTGCATTCTTTCTGGTGCAATTGTATCTTCATATTAATTGAGAAGTCTGAGTTCCCAATATTGGCCAAATGTTATTTTTAATTACAAAACACAAATTGCAGAGTAATATGTGTGGGTATGTTGACCCAGTGGGCGGTATTAGCAGTTAGTGTAGATAGTATGAATGCTTTAAAAGAAAAGGTAAGTACTGTATGTGCAAAGCGTAATTTCAGTTTGTTTCCTGTCCATCCCAATTGCAATCTGCTGTGCATTTGTTCCTGAAAAAATTCAGTTCAGCAATCTGCTGACAGAATTCAGAACTAGCATGGATATTGATTTGCTTGGTTTCCTGTGGTACTCTGCGTATACTCACATACACATAGATATGTTACTGATGTGAGATTTACTTTGAGACTTTAAATGGTAGAAATTACAGAAGAAATTACATTAAATTTGAATTATCTCCTACAGGATTGGTGTTTTTACATATTTGTTACCTAATATTTTGGAAGTATGGAAGACTTTTAGTTACTACACTTTGTGTAGTACTTTAAGACATTTTGACGTTCTATCAGGATGAAGGGTTAATATATGTTCTCATTTTTACATTTTATGTATTGTGAAGCCTCAAAGATCAAATGTCAACGTTTTTAGTTTTCCTGGTAAAATATTTTCTTTACAAAATGTACTCATTGAACATTTTCACAGATTATACAATAACTGAATGCTATTCATTGTATGGGTCCAAATGATCAATTAATGGTTCGAACAAAGTGTGATTTTGTCCAGATAAAAGTAATGTGAGAGTAAATGGACCACTACCTATTCAAAAAAGCGATAATTTAAGATAATGTAATACAAAGATTAATTAACTTGTGCTTCCATTACTGAGGAGCAATTGATCGTTTATGATCAGAAATGAACATTCGTTGATCATTTTTTTAGTTCAGGTCATTCTCCTTTTGATCTGCCTATTAACATAATCAAATGCTGCAGGTGGCATACTAGAGACCAACAGTCACTGAACAAAGTAAATTGATGTATTGACTGCAATATATTTTCCATCAAGATTGAAACATTTTCCTTATTAATTTAAAATAAGTTAATGTTCTGTAACTGGACACCATTTACCTTTATTAAGGCAGTCTGTAGTTTTTCTACTCTGCAGTTATGTACACTTGGGGAAGATACAAGTAAATGAAACCATTTTTATTAACTTCCCATCAACATATTTTATATTTCTTTCCCCATTTAGGCAATTTGTGTGGGACCTGAGGACATGCAGACCATGTACCCGGCAATCTTTGACCAGTTACTCTCCTTTGTTGAATTCTCTTGCAAGGCACCCACATATGGCAAATTAGAAACAAAAAATATAGCAAATGCAAAGTTCAATCAGGTAATTGGGCAAATATTTTTTTTCTTCAATATTTATTGTGTAATCCGTAGTTATTGTGTAATCCTTAGTTAAAAAAACATGAAGATTAAATGTGAGTAGATGATACACACACACACATGTATGTCATCACAATTGAAACAATAGTTCTCTCTTAAGATTTATTCTTACTTATGCAATCCTCAGCACAGCTTACAAGATTTTTGCCAGTGTCTTTCTGCATCAAAACATTATTTAGAGTGCCTTTGAATCATTTGCCCTTGTGCCTCTCAGCTCTGAAAAGCTGAGGGGTGAGGAGCCAGTTAAGCCAAGAAAGGATAGAGGTGATCGGCTCACAAAGCTTAGTACAGGACAGGACAAAAACAAGTGGATGGAGATTTTGATGTTCAAGTGCCATGGACTCAAATTATGGTCAATCGTTTTAATCTTCAGCAAGGCATGAGCTCATCCAAGCTTATTTTAAGTGAATTCCTGATTTAAAATTGTGGCATCAAAATCTTTTATTAAAATTAAATTAAAAACTGTACCTTGAAAATATTTCTCAGCAAATGCACAAGAATTTTTTTTTTTCCATGTTCTAAGTAGTCTGATAGTGATTATAATCTTCTTTTGTTCTATTTATGCTACTTCTGTACGTGATGGCTATGTAATAGATTCAACTATTTGCACCGGTAAGTTTTAAACCTCCATGGGTTATTTTAAATTGACCAATTCCTACTGATATTAGGATACACTGAACTGCATGGCCTCTCATATGTCAGTAACCTATGTTGTCCTAGCGATTAATAATTTGCTTGAGACTGGAAGAAAAACTGAAAATTGCTGGAAATCTGAAATAAAAACAGTAATGGTGGAAATGTCTAGCATCTGAAAGCAAAGTTAACATTTTGGTTGAAACTGTTTTTATTTCTAAAACAAATGTGACCAGTTTTTCTGAATTTAAAGCTGCAGTATCCTGTTTCCAATTATTGTATCCTGTTTCCAACTGAAGACCTTCCTTTTCGACCGTGCCATCAGTCACCTTCCCCCTCCCCCTGGCTCAGCTTTGGGCTTCTGCCACGCCATGAAGGCCGCTATATAAATGCAAGTTGTTGTTATCTCTTGAGTCTGTTTTCTTCAAAATGGAAATGAACCCAGTAATAACCTTTGTGCACTCTTGAAAGAAAATCTATTAGAAAATAAAATATTGATTTGTTTAGCGAGTTGTTCGAATCTGGAACGCATTGCCTGAAAGGGTGGTCGAGGCCGATTCGATAACTACTTTTAAAAACGCAGTGGACGGGTATTTGAGGAGGACGGGTCTGCAGGGTTATGGGGAAAGGGCTGGGGAGTGGGATGACATTACATTGCTCTTTTCAAAGAACTGGCACAGACTCAATGGGCCGAATGGCTTCTTTTTGTGCTGTACGATTCTATCATTCTATGATTTGTGCATGATGTTAACTATTCTGATCTTTTTTCTCATTTCAACAACAACAACAACTTGTATTTATATACATTTCAACCACTCTGATGGCGTCCGTAACATGGGGAAACCTCACACATCCCTGGCAGGTCCTCTTATCTCATTGGGGATGCTTGCATCAGCCGGTATGAGAACTGATGTCAGTTGTCCAAACTCACAAATATACAGTACCCATGAATACTGAAAATACCTAAGCTACTGCGTTTTTGCTGTGTTAATGGTTATTTTTGCATTAGTTGACAGAAGCTGTAAGAACTATGCTTATCCACCAGGAGGCATATGTAATATAATTATGCAATGATATAGCATTGTGTCAGCATATTTTTAGTATTTTGTTTTGGCTGAAGAAAATAAGCTGTGTATTTTTAGAAACATTGGCAATCAGAGAATCAATCAGAAATGTAACAAAATCCTCCTTACTAATTTGAGAAGTATGAAATGCTCAAATAGAGATACTGCAACTTTAAAGTATCAAAGTTCTGTCTGCTTGGTTGTTCATCCGTCATTATTACTTACCATCTTTACCCTGATTGATGCATGTGAACCAGGAAATTTAAACTGATAATTTCCTTTCACAACACACCCGATACACTCTGATATTAAAATTTTCACTTTTACATTGTTTCAAAGCTTAAATATCTTCAAACTGTGTTTCCTTACAGGCGGAGTGGGTAGCATTGAATTATGTACCATTTGCTGAGAAATCGTTGGAAGTTGTTGTTGATTTGTACCAAAAGACCGCATGCCACAAAGCAGTGGTAAATGAAAAAGTTCTTCAAAAAATCATTAAGGTAATTTGCAATTGAAGTACAGTGAAGTAGTCTTTAATAATAGCTTTGTGGGCTGATATCAGAGCACTGAAATTCTGGTCACAGTTAAGTATAGCAACTTTGCTGATAAAGTGGATAAATTCCTTTTTCCATTTGACGATGTCAATGCAACTTTGCATAATATTAACTAGAATTTCAGCCCACTGCTCAGCTGTTAATACACGTTCACATCTGAATTGTCTATTTATTTTAAAATTCACTCCTGTTGGACATGGGTGGCAAAGGTGGAAATGAATGCAAAAAGTTTGCATTCAAAATGAAAGTGTCAGTTTACGGTTAATTATTCTGCAAAATGTGAAAAGTTCCATTTTGCTTTCTGGTCTTGTTGCATTTTGCAACTTTCAGAAATTGCAATCAGCTACTTTACAAATATCACAAATTAAACGGGATGCAAAGGACTATGTGCGGCTTCCATTTAAGGCATTTTGGCACTTAATATCTGATATTGAAAAACAGCTAAATGGGATTTCCAAATTCCAGCAAGGTGCAAAAAAAAATCAAATAGGGACTCTCTTGCCTTTTATGGGACTATAGCATTTTTTGGACTTCTGTGACTATCACAAATTGGACAATATTAATGCTTCCTTTTGTGAGTGTCACAAAACCCCAAACTCCTGTGTCCTTATGTTACCAATGTTACATTTTTGCAAAAATTTTAAATGCGTTGGTTAGGATGGACAAATCTTTCTTTCTCATCAGACGTTGCGGATACCACTGAGCCTGAAGTATGCCTGTCCCTCTGAGACAACGTGGAAAATGGCTGTTTCCTCGCTTCTTAAAGTACTTTCTATAGGACTTCCAGTTGCCAGGCAGCATGCTTCCTCCGGAAAATTTGATACCATGTGGCCAGAACTAGCCAACTCGTTTGAAGACTTCTTGTTTACAAAAAGGTACAGAATAAAACACTTAATTTATCTGCTTAATGTGTCTACTGCATCCTAGGCCAAGCATAAAAAAAATTTAATTCCACTTATTTTACCTTGCTGAAGGCACAAACAATTTTGCAACATGTTAAAAAAAATATTTTGCGAGTCCTTAAGACAATATTAAATGCACCAGTCTGTTTTGTGGTGCAACCAGAGTCATTCAACTCTGCTTGCAAATATTTTTACTTGGGTCTGCAATTTTTTTCTCTATCTTGTGATATCTGAGCAATTAAAAATAATCTAGTTCTTGGGTTTTTCACTACTATCGATACAAATGCAAAATCTCCTAACATAATGGAGAATTGGACAATGTTTGAAATTGACTTCAGTCCCAATGAGGATATAACAGACATATTCAAAGAATCTTCTACGTCTCTGCTTCATGGAGTCGGGGGCCTGAGTTGAGTCCAGCTCCTGATTGCTATCCAGTAACACTTGCTTCAGAATGGTTGTCAGCTGACAGTGGAATTGGGGTTGACTGGTGCGATTGTCTTCCCATGGTAGAAGCAAGTTACTGTTCTCTGTCTGAACTCACATATGAAGAATAACTATTGGCCAAGGTACCAGAGGATAAGTTAGAGCATTCAGGAGAGGAAGGGAGAAAAAAAAATAACGCCTTGATTTTTACTGAACAAAATTTAACAAGCTGCTTATTAGTCAAACTAATAATTTGTCTTTACAGCACACCACCAGATAATCTGTCCATTCAAGAATTTGAGAAAAATGAGAATATTGATGTCGAGGTAAGTTAAATTACGCATTATAGTAATAATAATAATCCTTGCATTTGATATAGCGCTTTTCACGTCGGGAGGACGTCCCAAAGCGCTTCACAGAATAGACTGTAAAGTGAATTGACTGTATATTTGTGGGCGAACGCGGCAGCCAATTGCGCACAGCAATGTCCCACAAACAGTCATGGATTGAAAATGACCAATTTATTATTGTTTTGTTTTGGAGGGATTATTATTAGGCGTGTGGAGTAAGGAAACTTGCCCAAGGTTTCGCCCTGCCTGGAATTGAACTCAGGTCTCTCGCTTGCAAGGCGAGTGCTCTAACCACTGAGCTACAGGACTCCATGTTATCCACATTATTCAAAAACAGAAGGGACTTTACTGGGGGTCAGAAAGTTATGGTTCAAATCCCATATCAGAACATGATCTCACATAGTTCACTCCAGTGCAGCGCTGGGGCTGTGCTACATTGTTGGAGATGCCGTCCTTTGGATGAGATGTTAAACCGATGCCCCATCTGCCTGTTCGGGTGGACGTTAAAGATCCCATAGCACTATTTGAAAAGAGAAGGGAAGCCAACAATTCCCAAATCAAATTGGCCTTTTTGTGCTCTGCGCATTTGTGCTGCCGCGTTTGCCTACAAATATAGTCATTCCATTTCACAGTAGTCCCTGTGAAGTGCTTTGAGACATCCTATAGATTGTATTATTTAGCTGTAATCAAATTTTTAATGTTTTAAAAGTTGACCCATCTCTTTTGGCCATTGTCCTCCCAGCTCGGGTTTACACTTCTTCTTTGAAACCGTATGAGATGTTCTCCCCATTTGAAAGACTGTATATCAATTCAAATCTTGTTAACCTTTGTGAATTCTAATGAATGCAGTGCTTCTAACACAGGCAGTGCAAAGGTATATGTGTGAAAAGTTATCTTCCTGTTTTATCGCTGCTGTTTGTTAAGCAGTAAGAATATTTTACAGAATTGTATTTTAATCTTCTAGGTGGTGCAACTTATTAGTACAGATATATTGCCATATGCAAATTTTATTCCAAAAGACTTTGTTGGGCAAATAATGACCATGCTAAACAAGGGTTCGATCCATTCTCAGTCAACATCGTTTACAGGTGAGTCCCATTGTTTAAATCCTCATGATTTCATGGAATCATAGAAATTGACAGCACAGGAGGCCATTTGGCTTATTGAGTTATTGAGCCTGCACTGGCTCTCAAGAGCAAGCATTTTGTTCAATCCCATTGTGCCACCTTATCTGTATACCCCTTTAAGCCTTTGTAATAATAATAATCTTTCAAATTTATCTTTATCTTTGGATAATTTATCTTTCAAATCTTGCCTTTTGAAACTCACAATGGACTCTGCCTCTGCACCTTACTTGGCAGGGCATTCCACACCCCAACAACTCTGATTTGAACATAAACAAATTAAAGAAAAGTGTTGAGCAAACATGAGACTTCATTCAGTTATGAAAAGGTTATGAAAACTAGACACCTAGAATTTTGGTTAAATAAGATGCCCCTGTGTTTAAACAAAAACGGAGAAAAGTGATTATTTAGAATTGACATCTTCCTTTCAGAATCAAACATTCGTACAATAGTAATGGTTGGATTATGGTATAATCTAACTCATTGGAAGAACAGTTAAGTAATAAGGATCTTTTTAAATGGAGCAGTTTTAAATCATTGACCCCATTAAAACTGCTTCTCGGGTCACAACACTCACTTCCTCCCAGGTAGCAGTGTCAAGAACACAAGAGGTCAAATGATTTCCTGTCCTGAAAATGTCTGTTTCGTAAGAGTGCACTTGAAGAATTTGGGTATATCAAGACAGTAACTCGGCTGAGCTTGTAGAATGAATGTTTGACGCTGTGTATTTTATCTAACAAGTCACTTTAATAAAGGGGCTCTTGCTGTTGACATACAAATTTCACTTAAGGTTTTCCAGAGAGAAGACGTGGCTGTTAGTTTACGTGTGGGTGCAGGTTGTAATATGAAGACATAGCCAGGTGATATTTAGAATAGTTACATAAGCACAGCAGCTGGTTTTTACAAGTTTCTCAATTTCAACACAAGAATTAAACGAATAAAATTTGTTCAGTATTTCCTTCTCCATTTTCTCCCAACCCCACTCGCAACACACACAAATCTGCCAAATATTTCAGAGCTACACATCAGCCTGTGTACTTAACAAACAAGTAGGGTTTGTATAATCACTAGAAAAAAGCAATAGAAACAGAAATTGAAGATAGAAAGAATAAACTGCAAACCACAACAGATACATACTTTAAATTATTCCACTCACTGTGCAACAGGACTACAGAAGATTAGGTTAAACCCACAACCACAGATAGAAACTGGAACGAATGACAATAAGATAACATCAAAAGAAAAAAAGTACTTCAGACAAAGCAAGAACAAAGTGAATGGATCAGATACCACATCATGACAAAAAAAACTCAGCGTGATTAACACCTCAATTTGTTAATAGCAAGATTATCTTGGTTCCCAGCAATAAATGACCCTCATATATTGCAATGACCAAAACTGTACATATTTCCCCACGTATGAGTGAGAATCTGAGAGTTAGAAGAAATATCTTCACAATTCTATCCAGTTCTTTGTACTTTTGAGGCTCAGCTCCATTGTGGCTAGCTACTGAACCTTAAAATTGCTGATCTATTGAGAGAAAATGTTTAAAGAAGAAATAATTGCAGTGACTATGGAAAATCCTTACTAAAGTACGGGAAAACAGTACTGTGGAGAATTTACCTCCATCAATAATTAGAATTATTGCTTAACTTTTACAGAAGCAGAAATCGACATTCGAATGAGAGAGGAATTTTCCAAAGTCTGCTTTGAAACGCTACTTCAGTTTTCCTTCAGTAACAAAGTGACAACTCCCCAGGAAGGGTATATTTCCCGAATGGCGTTGTCTGTGCTATTAAAGAGGTCACAAGATGTATTGCATCGATATATTGAAGATGAAAGACTGAGTGGTAGATGCCCTCTCCCAAGGTTAGTGTGTTTATCTTTATTTATGCCATAAAACTCAGAATAATTACGATATTTGCCCTCTCCACATTCACATTCAAGGCCTGCTCTTTGATTTGCCTCTTTTACTACGCTTTTAGTCATCTTTCCCTTTCTCACCTCAGCTTGGGTGCCTAGCCTGTTGAGATGTCCTCTTGACACGAGAGGCGCTTGAAAACAGGCGCTAAATATACCTGTTGACACAGCTGCGGTGTCCCAGTACTTGTAATACTTGTTTCAGTTATTGTGAAACATCATATGGCAAACAATTGAAATTCAGGAATGATTGTCATTAGAGTATTGTTGAAATTTAGAATTATAGGTCAGTTTATTGTAGGTTTATTCAGAGAATTGAGGCATGTAAACTTTGAAGGATAACTCAACCTTTGTCTTTTGTTTATACAGGCAACGAGTAACGGAAATAGTTTTTGTACTGAAAGCAATCAGTACTCTTATGGACTCCCTTAACAAAACCAAGCCTGAAAATGGTAAGTACAGTTGTTTGCATTAGCATTAATGAGACACTTATATTTTTTCCCACTAGTTTTGTTCCTCCTTCTTTCCCCCTCTTCATCTGAAATTCTTAAGACTCCTTTTTCCTTCCGCTGGGGTACAGTTTCACAGCTGTCCTCCAGGACTTTATGTGTTTTTTTATGTGTGAACTATTCCACTGCAGGAGCATCAATTGAGCTTGATTATATCCTTATCTGAGGTCCACACATACTCTGCAAGCATGTTGTAACATGTGGAGTCCTGTAGCTCAGTGGTTAGAGCACTCGCTTTGCAAGTGAGAGACCTGGGTTCAATTCCCAGCAGGGCGAAACCTTGGGCAATTTTCCTTACTCCACACGCCTAATAATAATCCCTCCAAAACCAAAAAACAATAATAAATTGGTCATTTTCAATCCATGACTGTTTGTGGGACATTGCTGTACGCAATTGGCTGCCGCGTTCGCCCACAAATATAGAGTCAATTCACGTTACAGTGTGTTCTGTGAAGCGCTTTGGGATGTCCTCCCGACGTGAAAAGCGCTATATCAAATGCAAGGATTATTATTATTATGATTCTTTCAGTAGGAATCGCAGAACAAGAATCCTTACTGATTTGTCCCTCTCTTGTGCAAGGTAGTTGAGGTTAACTGCAGTATATCAACTAGTGCCTTTGCTAAAATCAGCTAACTCAGCATAACCTGTTTCTTTTATTATTCAAGCCTGCTAGCTTCTGGTTTGGATGGCTTAGTGCTCTACTAGACAGCATGTTTACTGACCTGTCAGAGAAGCTCACAAAACATCAATTTAAATGTTTGTGATGAGCGATAAAGCAATATAAGTGGTGCAAACTGCTTAAAATAGTAATGTTTTTATAGTTTAGCATATCCCATTGAATTCTACTGTAAACCTGGAAGTTGATTGTAAACCAACATATTTTGCTAACTAAGTCTTTTGTTTAATTAGCCCAGGTCGACCATATAATAAAACAATCTATGTCACTTCCTGTTCTTTGGAACTTAGTATGTTTCAGAATGAATCGACAGCTCCTCTAACTATTAGAACCACTAGGGCTGTGTGCCCTCCCTGGGGGGTGGTAAGGGAACCTTTTTGGGGTTGAGTTGGGTCCAAAGTTCCACACACGGCAATAGAAGTTTTAAATCAAGTCAATCTTTTGTGGCGGTTTCAATAATCCAATACCTAAACCAGATAAGTCCACAGTCCTCCAAGGCACTACTTATGGTGAACCAGCCAGCTGGCTTATTAGCAGGACTTGGAGGAGCAGACAGGATACTGTGGACGGGGGGATTCTTCCTACTCAATGCTTATTAACCACGTAAGCTAAAGCCCTAACAGTAATGTTATCCTAGCTGGTCAAGCACCAGGAAGCTTAGCAGTTTAATGGTAGTTGCACACTTTTATCTCATTAAACTACAGCATTACACTAATGGAGGTCTCCAAGCCTCATTTCTTGCCAACCTGCACCTGAACTCTCCAGGATTAGGTAAACAGTGTGTGTCCCTCTAGGGAGAGAGTGCATGCTCCATTCCAGGCAACGAGAAAGCATACATATGTGGAACTCTCACTGGGGGAGAGAGGTTAGACGTTTTTTTTATATACACAAAGATCATTAGGACACAGAATGCCCTATCAAAAACCATGGTTAAAGCAAAATCCATAATGGCTTTTAAAAAGAAATGAGACAATTATTTGAAGATGAAAGGGAATGAGGAAAAGACCGCAGAAGGGGAGGAGGGAATTAATGGATGGTCTCTTTCAGAAAGCCAACATAGGCACGGTAGGTCTAATGGCTTCCTTCTGTGCTATAAAAATCTATGATTAATAAACAGCATAGCAAACCTGCTAGTTACCTCTTTCCATTGGCAATGCAACTCAAATGTACAATTACCTGTTGTTTCCAACCAAGAGCCACTTCAGAAGTTTCCGCTCTATTTTGTGCCACCCTTTGTGGATCCATTTCTTATGTATTTACAGCTTTAAAATCTGTTTCTTACATTTTCTCTGAAGTACAAGCAACTTTAAAAACAAAGGCAGTCAATGAAAACTATAAACATTGAAGATTGACCTGGTAAATTCATAGATACATCCAGGCGAATGCTAAGACAATTTTCACATCCTAACCAGAAGTGAGAGCTGAAAATAAGTAAGCGCAACAACTCAGAGTTATTGCTTTAAGAGTTGATTGCAATTAATACTGTTGTATTTAATTTTTAATCTTACTGGATATTTTGAAAGAATGTGAAATAACTTACTTCTGAATTGAGAATAACTTCTCATGACTTTATTCTCAGAACTCTGCGGGGTATTCTTCTACAGGATACTTAATGTTTAGGTACCATAAAAAATAAATGGAGACCATTAAAAGAACACTTGCAGTGATGCATAAATAATCCTGATTTGCAGGTCATATAAACTGCAGCAAACTGGAACTAGTGTACTATATCTTACAGCAAGTGTCTGAATGAAAATATCTATTAGAACTGTTTTTGTATTTTGTCAGAGTTGGGAAAAGCTTCTAATTTTAATGTGTTTTTGTGTTTAGTTTAATTAATTCCTTTTTTCCCCCCTTGTTACAGTTGACACCAACACCTGGTCGCAGGTAATTGCTTTGTATCCAACACTGGTTGAATGCATTACCTGTACGTCCTCTGAAGTTTGCTCTGCTTTGAAAGAGGCATTAGTTCCATTTAAAGATTTCCTTCAGCCACCAGTAGCCAAAGTGCAAAATGGAGATTCCTGACAAATATGAGACTGTCACATCAAATACAATACCGCATAGCGTGGAATCACACAGTTTACTTGCCAGAGCACAAATAAACAAGGGTCTGGGGCATTACTGAATGTAAAGACCTACAAGTGCCGACTGGAACAAGTAACAATCAAGGGCCTTGCTGGAAGCTTCTTAATGAGAAGAGTTGGGTTTGTTAAAAACGTATTTGATTAAAATTAAATTACAAACTTGTATAGTGCCCCTGCCATTTTTTTTAGTGAAACTTGACCAGCGGGTGCATTTTAGTTAATCAACCTTACATCTGATGCAGTGATATGAAAAGTGTTTGCGGGGAGGGGGGAGGAATATGTACAGGTTGTGTTAAAGATGTTGCTGGTGTAATTAAAAATATATATATTACAACATCCAATATTTGAGAAATGAGCTGGTGTTTTGTGCACTTTTAAGGTACGAATGTAGTGCACAGAGAAATTAAATACAAGAGAGTACCATAACATTCCATGTCATCTGTGACCAGCCTTTGTAAGGAAAGGGAAATTATGTACTTGTGTGTAAAATAAATTGTCCACTTCTGTTTCAGAGTGGGACCTTTTTGTGTGATACCTTGGTGTTTCAACACATTGATGTTAAATAGGCTTGTTAGTATTCGGTTTCTTCAAGCAGTTTTTCTTTCAATTCCGCCTCCTCCCTCTCATATCAGTTATGATTTCTGCCATTATTATCTGAACTGATTTTTTTAAAATGTGTTTATTGGAAAATGCTTGGCACTGGACTATGTTGTGCTCTCGGTTTAGTATTGTTATATACAATATGGCGGGGTGGGGGGGAATTTTGAAGCATTTAATAAAATTTGATGTGATCCCATTTAATCTGTTTTCAAATGGTGGTGTTAGGACCCAAGATCCCTGCACTCATGTTTGCATTGAACAGCAGATTTGATCATTCAAAAATAATGACTACATCAAATTTGTTATGAAATGTCTCATGTTCCTCCTCCTCCCTCCCTTTTAGCGTGACAGCCTGTCAGTACAAGCATGACAGCTGCCCACATGCACAGTGAATGTGGTCCACACTCCCAACTGTTATAACTGAACCAGTACTTTACAAAAAGTGTTACAACAGGTCCACTGTATTTAGTTTAAAACTCCCAAATTTCTGGTCTGATGCCTTCTTAAGTCTATATTCTAAATGGCTTTATTTCAAGATATGGTAATCAATCTAATTGAAATTACACAATTTCTCTAGCTCTTGTGATTGTTTGTAGATTTTAATAGATTTCTGCAATAGATCCTGACAAGTTAACACAATATATCTTTCTTTCAGAGTTGAAAATATCAATTTTTTTAAACAAAACGTGACCCTGTAAAGGAAGGTTAGGCTGTTTATAATAGAACTGAATCAATATTCCACGCCCAGTGGGAATTCTAATCTACATTCCTCTTTAATTAGTTATCTAATTAATAATATCAATAATTTACTACATTTTAAATGTCACATCAATAGCAGTTTAGTTGATTTGTCCTTTTAAGAGCATTTCACATTAAGCACCAAGTGAATTTTCCTCATTTAGCACCCTTTAGTGTCCTACAAAAATACCAATAAAAGTTGTATCTGGGTAGAAAGTCAGAATTACATTTTCTGCACAAAGGGGTACATTCATCGTATTCTATCTTTGCCGCAACTACCTTTTTTCTAAATCACCTTCAGTGTCTCAAACACATGTGCGATATCCCTGTTCCAGAGAAAAAAATAATTCAGCCAGCCTCTCTTCAACCCAGTGTCATTCAGGTGCATTTGTGCTGCACCCTCCACATCTGACTTCCTTCCTGTAAACCCAACATTTAATACAATATTCCAACTGCAGCCTAACCAATTTTCCATACAATTCCAACATAATTTCAAAGATTTCATATCCCATAACCTGGTTTATAAATCCCAGAACCCTTTTACTTGAGAGCTTTCAGTACTTAATGTTCCACTTTTAATAATTTATGTATCTGTCCTCCCAATCTCTCTGCTACTCCAAATCATAAGCGCTTTGGGACGTCCTCCCGACGTGAAAAGCGCTATATCAAATGCAAGGATTATTATTATTATTATTGAGTGTTTCACCCTTCGAACTATCCTTAGAATCCCTATTTTTCCGGAAATGTAGTACCTCCTTTTATCTACGTTAAACTGCACTGCCACTTGTGTGACCATTTCTCTAGTCTATCAATATCCTGAAATCTTTTACAACCCTTATAACTGACCAATTATCCAATTATTTAATCAGTACATTTGCTGATCCCCCTCCCATGTCTACATCCAAGTGATTATTAATAACAATAATAATCCTTGTATTTGATATAGCGTCTTATCACATCTTCGAGATGTCTCAAAACGCTTCTCAGAATATCCTGTAAAGTGAATTGGCAATATATTACGTGAGCGAAACGCAGCAGCCATTGGAGCACAGCAGTGTCCCATAAACAGTCATGGATTGAGTGACCAATTTAGTATTATTTTTATTTGTATTATTATATTGATTACTATTATTATTGATGTATATTGTAAAGTACAATTCTCCCAGTAGAGACTCCTTGACAACACCACAAGTTAGTCTGAGAAGCACCCATTGATTCCCACTCTCTGCACTCTACCCTTCAACCATCTTTCTATCCACTTTACTAACTTTACATTCAATAGCATGATCAAGTTTGCAAATTAAACTCATACCATATTTTCTTCATTTATATTTGAGATAATCTGAAAAAATCAATTAGCCAAATACGGTCAATCTTCCTTACATAAATCTAAATAGTAAAGTCAAAAACATATTTCGGATTTAAAAGATATGGTACTAAATGTTATAATCTGGTGGCCTGTATTGCAGCCTCTGTTTTAATTGTTGATCACTATATGGGACTTTAAAATAACCTCCAGGCAAAACAGAAATTATATCTTATATTGTCAATGGAATATTTGACAATATTGGAGAGCTTGCTGTGAGCTCATCACATATTTATAATGACCGCAAACCCTACCATTGAAGTAGCTGTAATTTAATCTAACACGGATTCAGTAACAGTTTGAGGTTTTATCGAACTTGATGAATCAAAGGGTCTCTGACCTGGGTTCAAAAACCAATCAGCCTGATAGAATGAAAATATCTTCTGTACCAGTTGTAGTGGTGAAATAGCTTTGCATGATTCCAGTGCCTAATCCCAGGAAAGTGTGTCATACAAATGGCCCACAAATTAACAATAAATTATGCTTGCATTCAGAGAAGCATTAATGATAGCACCCACAAAACAGAAATCCAAGAATTGTCTTTCTATCGACAAGCATTTTTGGTATTGAAAAGTATGTAAAATGAATCTGTTCCTGATCAACGTCCTCTGAAATCAAAAGGTTAAAACAAATTAACAACATTGCGTTTTTCTTTTAACACAAATATCATTCGAAATAGCTTTGTGATTAAACATGTTAACACCAGGATCTGCTTTTTAATATAAAGTTAAAAACCCATTCTTATAAATCTTATTAATGTGACCCAATAGTGCCAAGCGTTAAAAAGTAGTAGTAGATCACTGGTAGGACTTATAAAGCAGAAATCTAAGAACTGACTTTCTATTGACAAGCATTTTTATTTTTAAAAAATGTGTAAAAATGAATTTGTGCCTGATAAATGTCCTCTTTTAGACAAAGATATTTCTTATCATAAATGATGACTGACTGGCAAAATGTTATATAGAAATACAGTACATAACGTTTTCTATAACACCATTGCTATAAGGTGGCAAAATTCCCTCAAGTTAGGTTGCTGCTTGTTTCACGGCACCTAATAACTGATGGCTAAAACTTATTTTGTGAACAACAAAATGTTAATATAATTAAAACTTCTGGGTAACCTAAAATCTTTCTGGTTCTTGTAATGTATTCTGTTACTAGTCTTTACAGACCAAGATGATCCAATATTCAATGCTTGATCCAGGAATTGATTTGAGATGCAATAGTGCTGAGGATTAAATAATTGACCTCAGCATCCTTGAGTAGGGAAGGGAGGAATCTGCTCCTAATTATTAGGGTAACCCTATTATAACATGGTAGAGCTTGGATGTGGTCAGATCCTGTGGATCCAGGATAACCGGAAGTGCAGTACACTTGGCTTTTGGGACTAACCAGCAGCTTCCCGCACTGTACAATTGCCAATTTACGGTTGTCTGTGACATCACATCCTTCACACTATGCACAGAAAGCACAGCTAACATCGCTTTCTGTCTTGCACACGTGCCAGAGGAGTCTCTGGTGTTACTTCACAAAAGGAATGTCAGCAGCGTTTCTTGCGCACAGCATGCACAGAGATATCAGTGGCAACCTAACAACCCAGAAGTTTGCCACTTTTTCACTTTCTTTATAACACAGCCTCAGATATTGGACCCAAAACCACATTATAACAGGGTTGTCCCGTTTTTAGTTACCCCACATGAGTGTAAACGCTAGTTGAGAACGGGATCAGGCTTGGCCGTGATGCTCTGCACAGATCGAGAGTTTGCCAGCACAATTGCCATCTAGGCTCAGACATGAAGAAGAATGTACACTTGGACAAGGCAATACAGAGCTGTTCATGGCTGTTGAACCATCAGCAACACAATTCACCTTAAGAGGAAGAAAGAAAATTGGGCCAATTAACTTGCTTTTTTTCAAAAAAAATCTGTTCAGCTGGAAATTTTCTGAATCAGAAGGTTGTGGGTGTAAATCCCACAATTGAACTTGAACTTCATTGCCTTGGGCCATCCTCCCGATGTGAAAGGAGGTATACAAATGTAATTTGTGGTTGTTGAACTCGCATAGTCTAAACTGACATTCCAATGCACCGTTGGAGGTATGTTGCAATGTCAGAAGTGCCATCCTTCACATGAGACCTGTTCAGTTGGAAGTTAAAGATCCAGTAGCACTGTTTGAAAAGAGATGGGACTTTCTCCCGGTGTTCTGGCCAAATAAAATAGGTCACTCGTTTCATGGCCGTTTGTGGGGACATTGCTGTGAACAATTGTGCTGCAGTTGCTCCATTTCACAGTAATTCCTGTGAAGGACTTTGAAACATCCTTCCAACGTGATAAGTCGCTATACCAAATGCAAGGATTATCATAAAATGGTTGTACTTTCAAAAAGCCAGCATAGACATAATGGACCAAATTAGCTTTTTTTCAGTGTTATAACGTTCTCTGGTTCTATAGTATCTGTATGGATAACTACTGTTCTATAATTTGTTTAGTAAGATGTTGTTTATTATACACTTCCCCCTCAAAACAGACAGCCATTGCATTTATAGCACGTCCTGTGAAGTGCTTTGAGACATCCTACCAAACCAGCTAAACCAAATGTAAGAATTATTATTTTGTTTTCATGTTTCATTTACATTTTAAATACATTCTTACTTTGATGATTACCATTAAACAATAAAATGAAACTACACAGCAGTTAAGCACCAGTGAGATAAAAATACAAGTGTTCACCGATGGCTTAACGGAATAATAGTGCCTAGTGTGCTCTAGAGCCATATATAACAACTTGCATTTATATAGCGCATTTCACGTGGGGCAATGGCTCGGATTTATTTGCCAGTTTGCATTGAATTGTATTATTTTGACATAATTTGAAAAACTTTAGAAATTACTCATAATTCAATTCTAGAGTAATAAATATTGCAGTATATCAATTCAAATATCAACGCCAGTGTCCTTTCTTTGATGTTTGTCTATATAATATGCAGTCACTACACTTGACAGTAAATCCTACGGATTGCTTTGAGACCTCCTCCAGACATGAAAGGCACTATATCGAATATAGAGATTATTTTATGTGTCAACGAAGGAAGGGATCT